CACACTTGAACCAATGCCTGACTTTGGAATTCATGGTGCTGTACAAAGAGGACAAGACAAACTCTACTTTACATCCTTTCAATATGCAAAAAGCCATGTGGGCAGTTGCATTAGATCAATAATGCAGTGAACCTTGTAACACAATGTACACTTAACTTGCATTATGATGCTTTGCAGAGATACAGACTTGAGATTGGCTTGTAGCACACGAACAGTTGCTTTCTCAGCATCTTGTGTAGTTGGTCATTATCATTGATTCACATGGAGAACGACAAGTTATCTCTTTTTAATACACGTGCAGTCACTTCACTAATGCAGAACCCAGTAATCTGGTCAATCAAAAAAAATTAACTTTGAGGCCAGTACACTAGCACAGTCAGATATTCACTGTCAAATAGTGGTTATGTGCAACTTACTCCGAGGTGTCCAGAGAACATCTAAAGAGGAGGTGGGGAAAAACATAAAAATGAATTTTTTGGAGTGCTGATTTTGGTTTCGGATTACCATGGCAACAAAGAGTCAAAGCATTTGGATCAGGCCCGCTCCCCATAAATAACTTAAAAGGTGCTCAAAGCAAAAACTATTGCCAACATGGAACACTTCTTCAACTTGCTGTTATATTTTTATCACTTCAGTATTGACTTCCTGAACCTGCAAACGTTACTCGCTGTAGTCTCATCACTGTTAATTTCACTATCGGAGCCTACAGGAAATGCCTGAAATGAATTGATCGGTCACCAAATTTCATTACAAAACTAAAATTTTTAAATATGACTGACATATGTTCTACTGTGAGGCTCCATGGTTGTTTTATCTTTTCTCATTAATCAATCTGAGGTAGTGGTTAAAATGACTGTGTGTTTGTATGTATTGTAAGTTTTGTTTCCTTTTTTTGCTTGCAGCAACTGGATGAATTCACAGATGTCAATGAGGGAGAGAAGGAAGTGATGAAGCTATGGAACCTACACGTCATGAAGCATGGGTATGTTCAATAGAACAGCACTACAGGAATTCCTAGTATTCCTGAAGCAGATATTTAAGCAATATAATGGTTGTGCAAAAAATATGGAAAATGTCCTGAATTTTGTTGCAATGGTGAACTATATCGAGTAATAAAGTGTTTAAACAGGACTGCCACTACAGAGTGAAATCAAATCCAGAGAACTTACAAAGTGACTTGCTCATATGTACAGTATATCAATATCAAAAGTATGTAATTCAGAATACACAGTAGTTGTGCTATATTATTATCTTTTGAAACACTACAAACTAAGCTCTTCTGTGGTCTGTTTTTCCCTGCAGTTTCATAGCAGACAACCAGATGAATCAGGCCATCATGCTGTTCGCTGAGAACCGCGGCGCTCACATCATCCGGCGCAACCTCTGCCGCAACTTCCTCCTGCATCTAGTCAGCATGCACGACTTCAACTTGGTGAGCACGGCCACCATTGACCGTGCCATGGCACGTCTGCGACAGATCCAGGAGGAGCTGCCGGACACTGAGGAGGAGCACCAAGACCAGACTCTGGTATCAGCAGGAGCCTGCAACGGCAACGCCATCACCTCCACTGGAGGGAAACAGGGCAAGAGGACAAAAAGCGCACTAACGGACTGATGTAGGATGGATCGAACAATGATTGTCGTGGGGTTTTTTTGTTTTTATTTTTATTTTGTTGGGTTTTTTTTCTTCAATGAACATTACCAACCCTTTGGTGCTTAGATAGGTGGGAGAACTGGTCACCGGAGGATCTGACCTGAAGCAGACCAGTATACAAGGTAAACAAGTTATTGGAACTTGAGAATTGAACCAAATATGAACAATATAAAAGTGAATCACCCACATCTACACAAACCAGGAATTTGAGGACTGGGTGATGCAAGTTGAACCTACTTAATATGCATTTTGTAGGTGCCATTGAAGTTATCTGTCTTTGGGGGGGCTGAGAGTGTGAACAAACAGTCTGACGTGGTCCGACTGTGTTTGGTATGTCCTTGGTCTAGACAACTGTACAGTTAAAACTGTACTGGTAACATTGTCACTCTTGATTATTTGTACACGTACACAATAACCTTGTTGAGAATTTATCCTTTTAGCTGATTATTTTAGCACTTGGTGTTTGTATTTAGAAATCTTACCTTTTTAAAATTGTTTTTTTTTTTTTTTTTTATTCATGCTGCGCCAAATGTTAAATGCAGCTTTTCCACTGTCACCAGTGGAGAAACTTTAGTGGGTTTGATTTCACTGTTGTGAATGATGACCTTTCAATAATTTGAAGGGTCATACAGTTAAGAACATTTACAGTAAAAAAAAAAAAATCTATACTTGACATCAATGTCTAGAGTATATAAAGCCTGTAAAGCTTGTGTTAGGACCCCACAATGGACTGTAGGTTTTGCTGGTAGGTTGCCATGACAATGGGGTACTGTAAAGCCTTGGATCCCAGAGTAGAGAATAAATTCAGAACTCTTACTTCATCACCCCTAAGGCTTTTGGCCTGCATTGATGATAGCTCAAGGAAAGCCAGGGAACTCAACTTTTCTGAATATTTTTCTTTTTTTCCTAAGATTTATTGAAACAACCAGCAGCGCATTACCCCATGTATCATGTAGAGTACATAGTATTCATGATATAAAAGTCAACAGTTTTTTCAGATGATACTTGCACCTGTAGTCTCTTTTCACTTTTGATCATGTTGGAATCACAATGTTAAACATGTTGTTTTTAAACATGGGTTCTGAGTATCAGTAGCTGACTGACAGAAATGTGTATACATGTAATCACATCAAATGTTAAGCTGTGCCCCGTTCTGAATCCAATAATTAACAGATTGCAGTCGTTCTCTCAGAGCAATATGCTGTTTATTGGAGGTTTGGTTTTCAGGTCTGAGTCCGTTGTCTGTCCTGTTAGGTGCAGTTTATGCCAAAGGGGAATATTTTCATCAGTCTTTTAGTTCTGTATATTTTTTCTAGTCTTTTGTTTTAATTCATTCCATGACAAGTTTTTAAAAAGCGGCAGTAGTTGTTTTGTAGTGTGCACACAAATTGGTGGTCACCATTCATTATTTCATCAGACTTCCCTTGTGGACAACCAAATTAACAATATATTTTCCTCCCTCCAATATATGGAGGATTTCTGTATTCATCTGGAAAAAGGGAGACATATTCACTGTTATTTTCAAACACCATGTTAAAAATTGTGAACTATACACTCTGGCTAAGGGGATTTTTATATTTAAAGAAATAAAATACATTTGACCATATTCATGTCTAATGTTGTCGCAGGGTAACAATTGAGGCAACAATTTTTTTTTATCTTCCAGTAACATAGCTGTTTCTTCTTCGAATGGTGAACTGCAGGTTACGTTGTAAGTCTTTTATGGTTGACATTGAAATTTAATTACTCTCTTGTTCTAGAGCTTTTGACCCCCATCATACTGTCCTCATCACCAGGTTGAGTTTGATTTGAATGGTCATACTCGAGAGTAAGCAAGCAAGTAAGTGAACCTTGAGTTGAGACCATTTTGTTGACTGCTGTTTTAAAGATAAAGAATGAACGAGCTGAACTTAGATGTTTAATGTCGGCAGTAAATTAATTTCATATATGTCTACTAAATGCAGTTTTGCTGAGGTTTCTTACAATAAGGCTTATAATGTAAATAAAACTTAAAAGGTGCATGACAGTGGCTGAGGTCCAGGCCTAATGAGCCTTCAGGATCATTAGGATATTACTAAATATTAATTACTAAATGGAGTTTGAGCAGTACTTTTTTTTCTTTTCATTATTTCCCGGAGCCATGCAGAGTGCAGACACTGCAAATTTCCCTGCTGCATCAAGCGGCTCCAGAAAGAAGTCTTCAGTCTTTCTCAGTTGTGTTATCTCCTTTCATTTCTTAATAATCCAGCTCTTCTGCTTCTGAGCGTCTCCCATTTGTTCACCACTGGCAGCATTTTATAGCTTTCACTAAAAGCAAGCACTGGCACACATCTACTTGAACTTATTTTTAAGTTGTCTGATGATCATTAATCTACCAAATAAGTAAGCCCCTGCAGACAAGGCATCCAGTAGGGCCTGGCAGACGCTATAAGCCACGCCCACTTACAGATGATATTTGGGTGGCTGAGGGAGACAGACTATAATAGCAGCTCAAAAACAAATTGAAAATGTTCTTAATGTTTTTATGGGTAGCAACTTCCTTCACGTTCACCCTCTTCGTTGCAGCTGCGGCTGCAGCTGGATGTGACACCCACCGTTGATGGTCCATCTCCGGTTTGCGGCGGGTCAACTCCTCCTCATATTCTGTCTTAGCTCCTGTAAAACCCTACATATCTCTTTTGCAGCCATTGATAGTCGCATACTGGCGTACTATCACAATGTAGTACACTTTAAACATTGCAACAAACTTATTTTATTTTGGTAATGACAGAAAAACCTGCAACCACCAACAAAGACATCAACAGGAAGAGCTCCCACTCTGCACTTAATTCTGGGAGAGAAAATGAGTGTTGGTTATGGTTTTCGAGGAAAATTATGTCCCCCATTAACTTGCAGAGTTAATCTATGCGACCACCCTTCAAACACAACGTTAATGTGTGTGATGTGTAGCTTTAATGACTTCTGGCACATCTGAATCAGTCCGGTTCCCTCGCTAAACTATACGAGACCGTGTGATGTGTCTGTTCACAGACGATCTTTGGCTACACCGAACCACCTGGCGCGTGTTTCAAACGTCATTCCACAGCAACAGCAACAGTAGCAACCGTTAATGTTCAGATGTTTCAGGTGTTTTTATTTGTAACATTTCCTTTTTTTTATATGTACTTCAATAAATTTAGCTAATACACAAAGTTATCTATCTCTGTCGGTGTAAACGAACATTCACGTTTTTGCCTAAAGTGAACTTACGTCGCACAAATTGACGCTAACTGCCGAATCATGCGTGACAGCCAAGCGCCAAAGCCGAGATGTCACCGGAAAGTTTTTCAATCTGAAGTCCTTAACGATGCGAAACAAACTCAAACGGAGCAAGAAATGTAAAGATGGCTCGTACCCGAGCAAAGACCCCCAGAGGACCGCCGAGGTGACAACGGTGGAGTTAGCAGGGTCGAGCTCCTCCAACCACGAAGCACCACCAGCAAAGGACAGACATGGTTCAGGTGTTTCTGCTGCAGGCGTCCCCGTCGGTCAGGAACACAGGAACACTTTTTGTGCAGAAGACATTAAAATTGCACCAATTTTCTTACGTTCAGCTCAGCACAGCCAGAGTCAGCGGGGCAGTGAGGGGACGCCGGGTAAGCCTGCAGAGAAGCTGCAGACATCAGTGCAGAGTGAAGATGTGCAGCTGGTGCAAAGTCAGCAGAGGCTGTCAGCAGTTTCTTACCTGAGGAAGAGATGTAGAGGACAGTTGTCACCCTCAACTCTGCACAGCTGTCTGAAAGAAATCCAAACATCTAACCCTGCGTTTCCAGTCCGAGCAGTGTTTAACACTTTGCAGAAGAAAACAAGTCTGCAGGATTTTGGATCTACTGGTGAGATTGAGCATAAGTCTGTTGTTCTCCTGAATCACACCATTAACATACTCATTCATTAAGTGTGGTGACGGTTATAATTGTGTCAGTCTTCCAACTGTCCTGCCATGACCTGTTATGCCTCTCTCCCTCCTTTTTCCAAAGCAGATGACTCCCCAGTTCAAAGCTCCCTACAGAGGCAGTTGAAAGAGAAGAGGAAGTGGGGAGATGAAACCTCTGAGAGGGCGCACAAACGTCTCAGGTCTAGTCTCACTGCAGAGGGTGTCGTTGTTAAGGATCACTGTAGCGTGTCAGCACAGGGTGTTCAGGATAGTACTGTCCCGGTGGCCAGGAAGCAGTCTAGAGGCAACAAGCTAAGTCGCTCTTACAGACTGAGGCAGCAAAGTGGGAGCCCAGCAGGTCTGGTGAACAACTGTGAGCCGTTGATAAACCACGCAGAGTCTGACAGCCAGTCACTCAAATACTCTGACATTCTCCAAAGAGGTAAACTTCTTATATCCTTATTGGTTTTCTTTTAATATACTTTCAATTGCAGGAAATTCACTTTTTCCCTTTAACTTTTTCTAGATTCCAGCTTTGAGGATGTTCTCTGGACGGACAAATACAGTCCTCAGCATTCAAGTGAAGTCATCGGCAACTCTGCCTCTGTGAATAAACTACAGAGGTGAGTGTTATATAATGAGCCCTCTCGCCCATTCACTGATATATAGGACTTGAAATCAGTTCAATTTTATTTTATTTTTATTTTTTTCTGGAATTAAGTTGGTTGAAGAAATGGAAACTAAGAGCCGACTGTGAGGAGAGGAGAAAATTGGAGGAAAGGAATCAAGAAGAAAGCAGCAATGGTATGATCTGGTATTTGTCACACTCAAAACTTTTGCTCCTATATCTCAACTCAGGGTCGAAATGCGGTTGCTAATGAGCCATGACCAAACATTTGTCACTTTGCCTACTTATTTTGGAGTATCCACATGACTTTAATGACTCAGAATTTAACAGAATTTTCCATGTGTGGGACGTTTTGGTTGGAAAAGTAATTACTGTCCTCTTGTGCAGACTCGTGGGACTGTGGAGACTTCCAGGGTGACGCTGGGGCAGAGGATGGCAGAAAGGAGCCGCTGTGCAACACCATGCTGATTACAGGGCCTCCAGGTGTGGGCAAGACCGCCGCCGTGTATGCCTGCTCTCAGGAGCTTGGCTTCAAGGTTAGAATCAAACTAGGATAAACATCTTTGAATTCATGCTCCCAAAGGCTGATAATCTGCATCCATATTAAATATGACCATGTCAGAAATGTGAAGAACTAATTTCCAGTGAACATTGATTCTTTTCCAGTGAGAACTGTAGATACAAGAACATGAGCACATACATCAAATCTAATCCGAATTATGCCCTTGAAAGATGCCTCAGAAGCATATAAATTCCCACATATAACCATTTTACAAAGGGCATCATCATCCTTCAGATCTGAGGTGTCAAACACCTCCTATGACCTTAACCTAGAATGTTCATTTAGCTCATTCAGACACCCACAGAAATAAGAAATGAACATGAAAAATAATGTTTTAGACACTGTTATTAAAAGCTAATAAACATAAAACCTTTTTCATTCAGCAGGAAGAGGCAGATGCAGTCTGAAATTATTCACTCATCAGTGTCTACACCACCAACCACTTGACTAAATGATCCATGTATTAGAATAGCACTATGGCTGTATGTAAGTCATTTCACGGTTCATACAAACATGATGTGTCAGACGTATCAGATATCTGGTTTACCCGGGAACATCGTGAATTATCTTCCTTTTGTGAGTTTCAGCTATAAGTTAGACCAGTACCCAAATCTGACTGAACTCTGTGAGATGAGACCATCGTTTTGTCTTATACTGCCTTCTCTTTCTCCATAAGATGTGGCCTTTGAGGATACATGTTTATTTCTCTTCTACACAGAAGTATGTTACTTAAACTTCAGCCAGATAGTTATATTTTCATCTGTGCTGCTAATAAAGTGTATATAGCTCTTAAACAGCTCTGTAGTCCCTTGACACTTTAGTGTAACTGTCTTTGCCTTCAGATAAGATCAAGAATTTGAAATACTTGGTGTGGCCATTTGGCAGTACTCACAAATATCAATAATTTCAACAGTGTTAATTCTAAATGAAAGCAAGTCAAAAGGGGCACATTTTAAATTTTTGAGTTTAGCCAGGGTTTAGACTACTCTCACAGCAAAGAATCACCCAGACACCACACATGAATAAGAGATTTAAGATTTATTCTTTAGTTTTTCTTTTCCCTTTTCAACCAAAGGTGTTTGAGGTGAACTGCTCCTCACAGCGGAGTGGTCGCCATGTTCTGTCCCAGCTGAAGGAGGCTACCCAGTCCCACCTAGTGGAGATGTCTGGGAAGGATCCACTGAAACCAACTTACTTCAACAACTACAACAATAAAGAGACTTTATCTGGTAGGACATACGTGAAGACATGGTCTCCAGTGACATCCAAAAAAATGTACTGACTTACTAAGACAGCTTGCAACAAAAAGTTTAGTGAAAAAGTAAAAAAGAAACTTCTGGTGTCAGGGTTATGTAGTAATTAAATGCATGTGGACAGTAATGGAGGCTTCAGTGTTGTATTAACATATTTTACAGACCTTTGTTTCCTTTTCTTTAACAGGAAAGACTGTGACTCTGAAAAATGTCACCTCTACTTTAAAAAAGAGGGCAGCACAGAACGTTGGCGGCTCCAGTCGCAAAGGAAAAGTGAATCCATCCAAAGTCACTTTGGCCAACTACTTTAAGATGAAGGCCAAAGCAGATCACTTACACTTAGGTGGCCTGTCGCCATCTGAAAAACCAGACGGCAAAACATCGGGCAGCCCATCACCAGGCTCTGATCAAACAGTGCCACAGAATAAAAACACAGCCACATCACTCATTCTGTTTGAAGAGGTAAACCATTTGGCAACCCCACGCTGTAAGACGTATAATTTAATGGATATGAGACCGCACGTAACCCCTGTTTGTCCCGGGTTGATCCATTTGCAAACTGTCTGCTCCCACAGGTTGATGTCATATTTGATGATGATGTTGGTTTCCTCACAGCCATCAAGACTTTCATGGCAACCACTAAAAGACCGGTCATTCTGACCACCAATGGTAAACGCACTGTGTAATTTTAAATAGAATAGATTAGAGAGGGCAAGCTGTAATGCAAAATAAATGTCTTCCTTAGATTCATCATTCAGAGAGAGATTCAACTGCACCTTAGAGGAAATTATTTTCAAAACCCCATCAGCGGTAAGTTTTTATCACTACACTCGTAACTTTAATGTAAAATACATTTTTTTTTTCTGAGGTAGCTCATACTTTCATTGTATGTTTTTTGACCAAAAAAAACCTCTGCTGGCTGCTTGGTGTACTATTAAAAGCTTCAGACACGCAGTCATTAGAGCAAACGTGACCAAGTACGACTCACAAACGTGCAGTGTTTATTTCCAAGGTGAATGTCTGTAGTTACCTGCAGTTGGTGGGTTTAGCTGAGAATGCGCGACTGGAGTTGGAGGACATTAGCAGCCTCCTCAGACTGTGTGGAGGTGATGTCAGACGCTGCCTGCTGCAGCTGCAGCTCTGGGTGCACAGTGGTGGAAGATGGGCATGTCAGAAGGGAGACGTGCCAAAGGAGACTACTGGTGTACAGCGTAAGTTGCTTTAAATAAATCACTATCAAGCCCCTTTATAGACGAGGATTTTGTTACCAGAAACGTTTAATACCAATATAAATTTGCAGCAATTTTCTCAATCTCCTTATCTAGTTTCTGAAAAAGGAGACAATGTAGACCCCCAGCTTCCTCAATGTGACACAGGCTGTGCTGCTACCATGCTGGGGCTCCAGCCTGTGACCCCCAAAAAACTTCTAAACCTTCTAAAGGCAAGTATTAATATCTTCACCCTGTGTATATGAACTTCAGATGCTTTTTTTCCAAAGAAAAACAAAATCTGTCAATATTTTCTGTTTTTTAAATTCTTCAGTGTCCATTCTGGTCTGAAATGGACATGACGGAGCTACTGAGGCTGCTAGCTGAGAGCTGGAGAGGAGGTGTGCCTCTTCTGTACGCCAACCTGGAGCTCTTTCTACCCATCGGGGCCAAAGGAACTTCAGTCCACTTCCTGGAGAAGGGGACTTGTTCTGGGCTGCAGAGTGAGCTGGCACTCCCTTACAGTGATCCTAACATCCAGCAGCTGGATGGAAATATCACTCCAAGGGCTTCAGCCACCGACAGCAAATCTGTAAGGAATATGTACAGGCTGAGCCGAAGGAAATACATGCCCACAATGTTTGACACCACGTCATCCTCCAGTTTGACACAAAATCTTCAGAGAAAATCATCATCAGCAAAGAGGAGTAGTTCAAGAACCCCGAGATCGAGAGATGCGACTGATCAAAACACAGCCAAAGTGGCACTCGACTGTTTGGATGCCTTGACCGACTTCTTTGACCTCATGTCGTACCTCGATGCCACGATGCCGGCTGCAGAACCACTTGTTTCCGGCTTATGCAGACCTGAGGCGTTTTGCTGGACAGGAGCTGTGATGAAGGATGGCTTGTTGGATGAGATGAGTGAGGAGGAGGAGGAGCACAGGAGTTGGAGCCAGGAGAAGCTGTTGGATATACAGGCTGCTGTTGAGGGCTTGGGGTGTCACAGGTGCCTGTGGCGAATGTCTGAGGCGTGGACTGAAGCCCAAAAATACACACAGGAACTGGGAGACACATGGTGGGCCTCCCAGTCTCTTGTCTCTTCCAAAAGACAGAGCCTCAGCTTCAGTGTTCAACCTCTGTGTGCACCAAGGTAAGCTTATTCCACATTTCAATCTCTGAATACTGATTCAAAGTGTTTGTCTGGCACTTCAGTGACTGACTCACATGGGTTTTGTGCCCTATTACATTCCAGTTGTCTTTAGTCATTTGGGTCATACTGGTCTTTTTAACCCTATTATGAAATTCATATGAAAGCACTATCACATTACATTCATTTGTTCATTTGGCAGGTGCTTTTTTTGCAAGTCTAGCGACTTACAATAACTGCATTCAAACCATGTAGGATATCAGATATCATCCTGAAATGTAAGCGTATTCATTTAAGAAAAATAACTAAACGCATGTTCACTGCTTAAGAGAGAGGCGTTTCTAAGAAATGAGACCTGTTATAATTTTAATAAAACAGAAGTATATATATAAAAAAAATATATTTTCCATCAATGCATTCATTTGCCAAAAAACCTTATTGCTTATCTCACTTTTCTGTCATGTGGAAACTGGCACTCAAGGCCAGTGTCATTATGCACATCATCATAAAGCAGAAAACAAAAATGTCATTTTTTCACAATATCATACTCTTGCCCGTCCCCTCCAGTGTGTCTCAAAGGAGGTACGAGCTGAGCAGGTCGGTGCTTGGCAGTAAATCCTTCAGCCTGCTGGGGAACAGAGAAGCTGTCAGTGTCGACTACATGCCGGTCCTCCGCTACATCTGCCGCTTTCAGAGAGAACAGCGGCAGAAAGAGGAGCCAGTCAGGTGAGCCCGACCCATTCGCTTTCACTTCAAGAGGCAGACTGTCACCTGGAATAGTGAATCACAGCACTGTTTTTTAATGAATTAAATCCAGTTTAACTCCATCATAACAAACCTGGTGTGTGACAGCAAAAGGCAGATGATTTGAGTTGTATCCTAAACCACACAGCTTCCTTACTAAATTACCATTAGTTTTTGTTAGATCTGACCCAAATAATATCATCAGTTAAGTCAAACGAAATAATGTTAGTTCAAAGTATTCAACCCCATTTTGACTTTTGTAATTTTGTACATCAAAATAATCCTATAATACCTGCAAACTAAATTCTAATGATTTATCACCCACATTAGGTGCCTGAACTACCTCAGCAGCACACACCTGGGCCTCTCAAAGTCAACCATTCAACTCCTGGCAGAAGACTAAAACCTCACATTCTCACTACCTCACTTTAGAGCAGTCAGTATTTATTTTACTGTGCATTCATTTTATCTGAATATTCTTTCTCTAAGTCCGTTTTTATTTACGTGCAACAGTAAAATGTAAATAAAAAAATATTTTTGTAGATTATGTTTGTGAAACACTTGTTCGGGTACTGACATGGGAGATTTGTTTTAGTGGATGAAGAGCATAGTGGTGGCTATTCGGAACATTTGCGAAGCAATTCGTAAAAAGCCACAGCCTGAAGCAGGGCGCCGCAGAGTTCCTCCCCTCCATTGTTGCTCCCCATTTGGAAGGAATTCCTGTACTTCAGCAACAGTTCTTGGGGGAGGCTTAGCCTGGGACTCTTATGTGTAACCGACTCAGTCATCAACCGTTGGACAACCTCTGCCCCACTGACCCGCGACTCGCCCACCATGAGTCCAAAGTGCTGACCCACAGCAGTACGCATCATATTCAAGACTCTGAAAAGGAGGGAAATCATTTCAGGAACTTTCACAGACTTCAACCGACAGTTGCCACAAAACAAATAAAATCCAAATGAATGTTTGTACAGTATTTTAGTGCCTTTCATAGTTGAACAGTCATTAATATGAAATCTGTTTTCTCCCTACCTGGGAGGTGTGTTGGGTGTCTCGGTGTTTCTTGGCTCAAGTAGAGCGAACAGCATGGCCTCCACAGTCCTCAAGTGAACCATGATAGGGAACAGTGTCGTATTCTGGTGTGAGAGGGACGTTTTCTCTATTATGTAGAAATCAGCGGATGGGAGGCGAGCCACAACTTTAGACACCTAACAGCAGAAAAGAAAAAATTGAGAACTGTACAGCTGTATATGGGTAGAGTTACAACACATGGACAACAGCTTTATATTCACTTTCTCTGCATCCAACCAAACACTGTGTCAAACTTGAATAATAATAATAGACTCTGGTAGTCATACTCACATCTTGCAAGTAAGCAGTGGCCAAGTAGGTTCCCTTCATGAAATGTGGACAATCCTTTTGTTCCCAAGCCAGAAGTGTCATGCTACAGTCAACATGAGTCCAGGCAATTTTATTGATCCCACATACTACTGACACAATGGAACCTGCATGCTGAGTAAAATAAAAACAATACAGAATTATCACACTGAAATGAGATGAACACTAGATCTATTACAGGGAATTGCGACAAGGTGTGTGAAAATGTCATGTACAGATCAGAACCTCACCTCCAACCAGGACTTATCAATCTCCGGCCTGATAAACTTGGCCAACTTCAATCTAACTTTCATCTTCTTCTCTCTCTTAACCGGGTTGAGAATGAAGTTGAAGACGGTGACAGCACTTTTGTGCTTCAGCCGCGGTACGTTCACCACACTTTCTAGAGTTTTAAAGGGGCCATTTTTGTCTCTGTACTCCACAATGTTGCGCGACCCGTGTTTTCTCAGCAGCTTCACGACGGACAGCTCCGACTGTGTGGCGGTGTTGAGCAGCTGGAGGATTAACTGTCGTTGCTCGGCGGTGTAGCACGCATCCAGCGGACCGCTCTCCTCTGTGCAGGGCGCAGAGGAGGAGATGAAGGAGGACTCCAGGGTCTCGAAGCCCGCCACAGGAACCCGGCTCCGCCAGCAACATGTGCACTGGAGATACCGCAGCTCCAGCTCAGAGGGGGGGCAGTGCTGAGGGCGGCGGAATAACCCGGACTGTCCTGTATACTGACCTGCAGAGGAAAAACACGAGGGTTTTTTTTTAAACAACACGTGATAATATACGTTATATGACCGGTAACAGTTTCATCCTACTATTATAACTAACACCGGTTCACTACGGAAGCTTACTTCTGTGAACGACCGACGACAAAAATCTCCTGACGAACCACATCGTCGGGAATTTAAATAAAGAATCGCTCGTTTTCAGCTACAACATCGCGCAGGTGGAACAACTTGTCCTTATGTTGTCCGACCGTCTTCAACCGGCCGTGGCAACACAACACCGCTTTCGATTGGTTCCGGAGTCCCTCTTCTTCTTTATGTTTTGTGGCGAACCGACATTAAAAGTGTACACCGCCACCTGCTGTGTGTGTGGAGTCACTGCACTTATTCATAGGGTGCTGATTTACTGCATTAATGCATTGTTTTCTTATGTTTACACACCCCACTTATATTAGTGAGGACAGACTAAATATAATATAATACTCTACCAGTTTTGTAGCTCAAGAACTGTATGGAGTATAACTTTTAGGTGCTTGAGTGTTTTTATGTTATGACACCTATATAGTTATACTCCACAACATTTCAGATGGAAATACTTTGTTCTGCCGGTTATGATTTTACATACAAAAATGTGAATTATAAGATATGTTGAATAAAGTAGTAGTAGTAGTACATTGAGAAGGGGCATTCTTCTAACTACTTTTAATACTTTAAGTTTAAGTTTGCTGATTATACTCACCTACATCTACTTAAGTAAGATTTTGAATGCAGGAATTTGAATTGTAACAAAGTTTGTTTACACTGGTATTTATTTACTGACCCACTCTTGCCTACTAAAGCCTCTAAAATGACCTTACATTTGAATCAACACCTCTGCAATACCTATTAACAAGCATATTTTTCAAAATCATATTATCAGTAAATATACACTTATACAATGTGTAATACATAATATACATTATATATTAGGGTGAAAAGATGTGTTTTAAGTTATGATTATAAATCTGCTTCCAGACCAACAAAGTGAGAATCAGCTGGTTTACTAATTGTTTGTGAAGAACTGATAAGACTGACTAGACCTCTGCCCAGTTCTACTGGGAATGACAAGCCCATAAAAGAAAACAACAAAGCAGTAAAGGTGCAATATGTCCTGCCTTTCATCCATAAGGAAATGGTAATAAGTGGTTTTCTTTGCTTTCAGGGTTCTTAAGGATCAGTGGATCCATGCAAAGTATGAAAGAAGAGAATTCATCGGAGAAAACAACTACTCTCAGGAAGCTTATAGCTCAGGTTTATACTAACTTAAAACAATTATTCCCATCACAATATGTGCATAAGGTGCAGTTCAGTTGCTCATGTCATTTCTTAGTTTTTATTTGATTATTTATTTGTATCAACCACAGACCTGTTTGAGTCAGCACTGTGGAAGAAGGGCATTGACAACATGCAGTTTCTTAAGCGGATCTTCCTTCTCTCCCGGAAAGACTTCACCCTCAGACACTTAATTAAAGAGGATGTGAGTAGTTCTTTTGCCATATCATCATTTAGTTTGCACTGTTTTATGAGCATACAAGGGTTGCAATCAAGTACATTTTTGCATCTAATCTTCCTAAATCCTTCCTCAATCCTCCAATTAAAACCATGTTCAAGGTTTCCAAAGCTGTCATCTCCATAAAGGATTTGAATGCAGTTCTTTTAAGCAGTAAAGGTGTAATCTGTCCTGCCTTTACAAGTGCAAATACTTAAATTAAGTGTTTAATGTGCTATAATAAAGATATGGTTTTATTATGTCTACCCTGCATTTTAAATAATTGTAAAATATGCTTAAATTAACAAAACTTTATTTCACATATTTACAGCGTACTTCTCCGAACATGATAATCTTTTACCCACAGCAGTCACAGCTCTCTATGAGCTACATACAAGTCCATCACCCTGTTTCACCATGACGTCTGTTTCACTTCCTTTCCCTCCTATTTCTGGACCTCTGCGTTTGTGTGCAGAACAATAAACTTCATGATGCTGGGCTGGTAAGAGGAAATGCTGGGCCACTGGCCAATGAGAAGGAATTGTGATTTTCACCTGCTACAGAGCAGAATAGCTCCGTACCATGCAATGGGTAGAATCAATATGGAGTTAATACCTAGTGGCTCTTTTGATGGGACTCGACTGTCAGTCTGACAGGAGTAAACTATCTTCACCTATGGCCAGTCTGGAAAGAAATAACAAAATACTGCTCGATTTGGCACGACAGCCAGGTAACAACTTGTGTGCCGACTGTGGTGCTCCTGGTGAGTACAATGACAAAGATTCATGACCACAATATATGTATTTTGATATGATATCAACACTGTTTGACTGGTTTCCAACAATACGTGTTTCCTCAACACGTATTGTTGTTTCTACCTGATTTCTGCGTTAATGAAGAGGTTTTCTTTAATGAAGTTTACAGAAAGGAAAACCTGTGCAACCTGCGCCATCAAGCAACGTGATGTTTGTTAACAGAACAATCTCGAAAGTCATATTTTATAGCCGAGTAACATTTTATAATGAACTTTCATAAGGGGAAGTGGTGGCTGCTGTGTATTATGTGGTATGACCTCAGTGTTCCTCCTATAACAGTCTGTCGCCCTTACTGACAAGGACGGTTAATAGTGTTTGTGTGAGAGCAAAAAACCAACAGGAAATTAAATACTTACATTAAATTCACCGTTCAGTTTATCCACTCACTTTCAGTGCTCATTTGTGTACAAAATACACTGATATTGTCACTTACTTTATTGTATTGTGGTTTGTAGTTTTACTGCTCACACAGCTAGAGTTTGTACTGTATTTAGTTCCTTCTTATAGTGTAAACTTTGTGATATGTTTTTTTGCTAACAGAGCCTGACTGGGCCTCCTACACTCTTGGTATCTTTGTGTGCCTGAACTGCTCAGGAATGCATCGTAATTTGCCAGCTGTCAGCAAAGTGAAGTCCATACGTCTGGATCGCTGGGAAGATTCACTAGTAGAGGTAAAGGCTTGTAGTTTCCTTCCTTTGTCTATGGATAGCTAATAACGTATTTATTATTTATTCAATGTACATTTTATACACTGATGATTTGTACAGTCTAGTCAATACTGGGACAGATATTGACTGAATATGAATTGTTGTGTTATAACTTGTGCCCACCCTGTGCTTTTCAGTTCATGAGGGAGAGGGGAAATTCTTATGCCAAAGCCGTTTACGAGAAGTGTGTCCCTGCCTTCTACTACCGGCCGCAACAAAGAGACTGCATGTGAGTGACCCTCAACACACAGTCGCCATCCATTGACCTCATTAGCAAAGTGGAAGTGAAAAGTGAAGAATCAACAAATAGTCTATTTAGTGAATGCGAGTGGAGAGAAAGAGGAACTAACACTAGGATTTGGGAACAGAGGTGGAGCTACAGACAGCATGAATTAGACTCATTCATCACTGACAGGCCTACACCATTTCAGTAGCTGGTATTTACTTAAACGGTAAATTAAATTAAAATGGTAATGAGTAATGAGTGTTTTTCTTTGCTTTCAGTGTTCTTAAGGATCAATGGATCCGTGCAAAGTATGAAAGAAGAGAATTCACAGGAGAAAACAACTATTCTCAGCACGCTTATAGCTCAGGTGATTATCCTGTGATTATACTAACTTAAAAATATTCATAATTCTGAGTTTGGTTCTCTGCATAAGGTACAGTTCAGTTGCTCTTCTCATCTCTTATTTTCTTTTTATTTGACGTATCAACCACAGACCTGATTGAGTCAACACTGTGGAAGAAGGGCAAAGATAACAAGCAGTTTCTTAAGCGGATCTTCCTTCTCTCCCGGAAAGACTTCACCCTCAGATACTTCATTAAAGAGGATGTGAGTAGTTCTTTTGCCATATCATCTTTTAGTTTGCGCTGTTTTATGAGCATACTACTTTCTAATCTTCTGAAATCCTTCCTCAACCCTCCCATTAAAAACAAGTCCAAGGTTCCCAAAGCTGTCATCTCCATGAAGGATCTGAATGCAGTTTTCCAGCCAGAGAAGATCAATCATGCTCACGGTCTGCAGATCTCCTATCTGCACGACGAGCGTATGAGGAATCTGTTTGTTTATCATGAGGATGGACAGGTGAGCTATTTTATTTTCACTTTTGACAGATAAATGTTTTGACTTGGCAAATGCAGCATACAAACCCTGCAGCACGGACACACAATCAGTGCATGTAGAGTCAGTTCAATTCAAGTGGCTTTAATATGCTCTCTTATATCTGATGCCTTATAGATAATTGTATCCTTGTTCAATGCTATTCGGGCCACACGGCTGGCATACCTCCAGAGGAAACACCCCACCCTTCGAGATAATGACGTGAGAAAAATATCTTAAAGATTGAGCTCAGATAGATTGTTTAAGAGTTAATTAAACAGCAACTTGTTGCAACGTGTTTTTTTGCACAGTTAATACCTCTGATAGCAACACATTGCCTAAAGGAGGGGTACATGGAGAAAACTGGTCCAACGGTCAGTCACATATCGGAATTTATTACAAAAATCAATTGGATTTATTCACCTTGTTATATCTTACAAGTTAATTTGATCCTTTCGTTCTCTTTTTCTCTTTTTTGTGTGTGTTTTCAGCAACGGGAGCCATTCAAGAAGAGGTGGTTCATACTGTGCTCAAAAAACAGAAAGCTTCTATATTTTAAAACTCCACTGGTAATTAACAGATAATGTCACAGTATCCACAGTGTGTGGAATAATAATAATGTAATAATTTTATTTAATACCAAGACGTAAAGAATTGGTTCTTAATGACTTACCTTGTTAAATAAAATACAAATAAATAAGGAAAGAAAAGTTACTCAGATATTAAGTGATAATTCTCACACTTATTTATAAGAAATAAAATCCATTCAAACAAATTGTACCCCTGTGCTGCTTGTTTCCACTGTTAGGATGCCACAGAGCTGGGCGCCGTCTTCATCGGCACAGAGAGCCACAGCTACAGAGTAGAGAGCAGCGGCCGGGGCACGAGGGTAGGCCGGTGGCACTATGGCATCACGCTGCAGACTCCAGGCAGGCAGTTTGTGTTTATGTGTGAGCAGGAGCAGGAGCAGAGAGAGTGGCTGGAGGCCTTCAGAAAGGTCATCTCTCAACCCATGACCCCAGAGGACTACGCTAGTAAGATACTGTTAATACACCTCATACAGTGCAGCTGATGTCCCACCTGTGTGTAGCAGATAGCTAAGCCATATGTGAACTCACACTCCTAACTCTTTTTCTCTTTGATATACTGCAGATGAAGCCAACTTGAGAAGGGGGAAATGACTGAAACATCTCCACCTGCTGGCTTGCAGGAGTACAGGATACGATAGGTATACTTTTAGGGCCTAACAGACAGAAAGTTTTACTTTCCTGAACCTGTCAGTCAGGATGTAAAGAAATATGCACAAAAAAAAAAATCTGTTTTACTGGCAGGACTGCTTGACACTTCTGACAAATGATCAATTCTAACACTCTGCACTGACTACAGTGTCTGTGGTTACAATGTGCCACATTAGAGAAGTGGCTGTCACAGCTGAGATGTTGCTGCTTTATGAGATCTATACACATCAGAAGCAGTATCTCCTGAATTCATTGCCTCGTTGTTGCCACAGTGTCACCACATAAAATAAGTCTTTGCAATGTATTATATGTATTGTAATATGTTTATACACTGGACATGAATAACATGAATGAACTGGAACCAAATGTTGTATTTATTACAAATAAGGAGTAAGTTGTACAATTTTAGCTTTTGGTAGTATTTTTACTTTTGTAGTTTGTTTAGTGGATTTTTTTTTTTGTATTTCTTGTTGTATGTTTAACTCAATTTGCACATTTTGAAAAGATTTTTTTCTTTCTCACACTCATTTTAACTCTCTATATTGTTCTCTGAAACTTAACACTCTTCATAATTTTAATAAACTTAATACACAATTGATTTCTGCTTTTCTAGTAATAGAGGTACAGTATACTGATGTAGCACAGATTATTTAGGCATTGCAGAGGTGCCCTTTATCTGGACGCCTTCAATGTCTTGGTCAGGTTATTGTGATGGGCATGGTTGGATTACTGACAAGGCCAAGTGAACAACTGCCACGGGGCCCCCAGACCCACAGGGGACATGAAGAAGGTTCACAATGTAGCAATTAGTTTGTGGACACAAACACACTGTAAACTGAAAAGATAAGGGCCTTGAGGCAAAACCTGCACAATACTAAATCCTGAGGCCATGTCCAGTAGAGGGGCCTCTTTTAAAGCCTTCATCATTTCCATTTATATTGTATTTACATGGTACATTTATATAAATAAATAGATGTTGCTTAATATATACAATATGAACTTCTCATTGCTGCTATTAGTTTTCTTCAGTGGTGAAAATTAACAAAATGTTCATATTCATAGGTTTTGGATTTTTTATTTTTAAAAGGAGGATATGCCTTTTTAAGTGTTTTAATGCATAAATTATACTATTTTGCAAAAGAAAAATATATATCAGAAAGACATTATTGTTTCAAGTAGACTATTCGTATGTGTCTTAAAAATGTCTGGAGGGGATCTTTTTTTTTTTATGTACTTGTACTTTACTTTGGTATTTCCATTTGAAGCTACTTATACTACATTTATCTGACCCCTGTAGTTACTACAGTAGTTAATAATACATCTGGGGGCCCTATTAGTATATGATACATAGCATTAATGCCTAATGAGTACTTTTGGATATTTTAAGTACTTTTCTTTGCTAATACTGTTGAATACTTTGAATGCAGAGCTTTTAAGTGTAATATAGTGTTTTTACAGAGTGATATTGCTACTTTTAAGAAAAATATCTAAAAACGTCGTCCACAACTGTTTGTCTTGCTTGTATTGGGTGTTGATATTAGAACCATTAAGATAAAATAACGATGATATGATATACTGTCAATGGTTATATCTCAATGGCTCTGGTTGACAGCGGCTGTCGGGCTGGCGAAAAATAAAAGACGTCTCACTCTGCGCCGTTTTCCCGATAACAAAAATGCCATCGTGCTAATCAACCAACGAGGCCAAATCTAAACAAATATTAGGATTTCGGTCTGTATTAAGTCACAATTTTAAAATTACATTCCTTACTTTAAAAGACTGCAAACGCCCTCAGTTGTGGGACCAACACTAGGCTACATGGGCCAACATTTATTTACGTGAATCTCTTACCACAATATGCGATCTTTGCTGGCCCGCACATTCAGCTGAATCTGAGGGGCGTGGCGGAAAACACGCTTGCTAGCGCCCGCTAACGCTGCCTTACCGCTGTCAAGTTTGTGTGTAGATGAGGTGGATGAACGCACAGCAGCAGTGGCACTGTGTGACTGACGGAGCCTGGCAGGTGGACTAATAAAACAAACAAAAAAAACAGAAAAACAACCACCACCTCGTCGGTATCCCGGACAACCAGCGGTTTGTACAGACAACCTAACGGTCAACCGTCGGTTCTGAACCAGCGTCAACCGGAGCTGAAATGCGAACGTAGCCGTTAGCAAGCGAGCCAGGCCCCGAGGAGAGCTGGCTGGCTGCAAACCTCCACCCAGACAGTGAGCATAAATGTTTCACACGTACCAGTTTACCAAGTTTGTCGACGCCGGAGAGGATGCGCAAGGACGTGAGGATATTATTAGTGGGAGAGCGTAAGTAAAGCTGTCATTTAACCTGCGGTGCGTCTGCAGCGTCAGCCTGTAAGTGCTCACTGTGCACTGATGCTACCAGCTAGGGGCATGTGATGCTGACAGACCGAGACCAGTGTCTCATGATGATGGTGTTCATTTCAGCTTCGGTCCCTTTTTTGTTTAAGTGAACTGATATTGTGAATGTTTAACCAGTGGAGGTTTTAAAGTGTCTGTCTGTAACTGTCTAGGCCAGGAAATCATTTTGCTGTAGCTTTTTTAAAAACAGTAGGTAGACATTTTCTTTTCCCATTATACAACTAACAAGTCAGGGAGTTCATTGTATGTTGCAGACTAGATATTATTACTATATTTAGGTCTCAAGTTTTCCCTAACAAAACATTGAAATCACTTCAGTCTGCAGAGATACTCATTACAACAGCAAAGCCAAGGAATGGATATTATTTTACAACTGAGCAGAAAGCTGTTTACATCCAACTATCACAGTTTGTCTAATGGTTGTTTAATTCCTGGAATATCATATAATTTAGGGAAGTAAACTCCAGTTCCTCTGAAGGATTTTATTTTCCAGCATCTACCTTCTTTGCACTGTGGGTACTTCTCTGCAAGAAGCCCAGCTGCTTTTTGAAATTATGTTGTTTGCATGTACTAGTAAAATTTGTAGTTTATTAAGGGACTCTGGCTTAGTGGTAATATATAAAGTGGAGAAGGCCGGTAATTTTAAAACAGAGCCTGGCTAAAAGCTGCAATTTATAGATCTCACACACCCATTAAAAACTTGGCCTGTTGTGTTAAATTAATAAATAATGTCCCCACAGCTAAAATATTCATATGAACTGTAATGAGTGTATGTTGAGATCTACTGAAGAATCGGTCTCATTTGTACCGAACTCTCACTCCTCTCGTCTCTTCCTCCCTTCGACAGCCAAAGTGGGGAAGACGTCTCTCATCATGTCTCTAGTCAGCGAGGAGTTCCCTGATGTGGTATGGATGAATAATTATTATGTCAGGTGTTGAAAGTCTTGATGATGCTTGCCTTTGTGGATCGTAATATGATTGGTTTGACTGTATCATTGAAACACTATAACTGGTTGAGAACAAGTTGTGTTCTTCCTAGGTTCCCTACCGAGCTGAGGAAATCACCATACCTGCAGATGTCACTCCGGAGAGAGTCCCCACACATATTGTGGACTATTCAGGTACTTTAAGCTCATGTCTGTGTCTTTGTTTGACTCTGCAGTGACTGACAAATGACCAAAAAAGGAGAGCACCATCCCTGCTTTTAACTGTAGTACACCTGTGTTTCTCCTGCAGAAGCAGAGCAGACAGATGAGCAGCTGTTTCAGGAGATCTCCAAGGTCAGTGTGTGCATTAAGCTTCTCTGCTTTTCATTATGCCGATCTGTTAGAAGTGCTGAGTTCAGGTAAACGCCTAATGTACATCTGTGTCGGTCTCTCTCATAGGCAAATGTGATTTGCATTGTCTACTCTGTCAACAACAAGAAGTCCATAGAGAAGGTGAGTTACCTCTGCCGCTTGCATTTACATAATTTTGTTTGTATAGCAGTTAAACTGTATAGCTTGTGAGTCCGTCAGCGTGGCACTAAATGAGGTGTCATCTTGCTAAATAGTGATAATCTTTTATGTTTTTTATCTTTTCTACCTTTTGTTTTCCATAGGTGACCAGCCACTGGATCCCTCTCATCACTGAGAACACAGACAAGGACAGCAGGTGTGAACTTGTATAAAAATAGTCCAGAGTTTTCTTTGTCAGCTCAGTTTTGGATGATGAAATATGGGGCGAAGAGGATGCAGGTCTCTCCATTTGTCTATGAATGTGTCAGAGTGCGGTCAACCCAGCAGAAAGTCTGCAAAAGACCATGTTCTGTAGCAAGAGAGAGGCCAGACATGGACTTTTTGTCTGAAGTGATGACCTATAGTCACAAGGTGGAAAATGTCTCACCATTGTTTCCCTGGAGTATATTCACCCGTATTCCATTTGTGTTGTAAAATATTTCACTTTAAAATGTGTCACTGCTTCTCTGTGAGGGGAAAATACTAAAATACATATAAAGAAAAGTACTCTTCTGCATAAAATGTATGTCCTGGAGTTACACCTGTCATTTATTAGTGTTAATACAAGGCTGTTTGTGTGTGTCCAGGGTTCCTCTGATCCTGGTGGGAAACAAGTCGGACCTGGTGGAACACAGCAGCATGGAGACCATACTGCCCATTATGAACCAGTACAGTGAGATAGAGACTTGTGTTGAGGTGAGAGGGTGACTACTCTGTTGATTTGCTTGATATCAGTAGCAATGTTATTGATACAAACAACGGACAGACATCTTTCGCCCAGTAGACGAGTTCAAAAGGGACATAAACACGAATGGAAATCAGTATCTTCTTCTGTCGTCTGCTCATTAAACAGAACAGATAGAGGGAAAGAAATGTGACAGCAGTTCAACAATAACTGGTGTAAACTATCACCTTTTTAGCAGCCAAGAGGAACAGCTTTGTTTTTAGGTTGACATTCAGACAGTTTATTGGAAGTGCATTTACGAGTCATTTAGGAGTCCACTGAACACACTTAAGTTGATGTAAAAATATTAAAATCTCACTTAATAAGAGTTAAATGGATTTCACATGATGATGACAGTATAGTAACTGAATGTCTGCATAATAGAAAATATCCAAATTATTTATATATATATATATATATATATATATATATATATATTTGATCTCCCATCATTTCTTGTAATTTACATTGACATCTAGAAGTAACGTCCTTTTCAACCTTTGCTCTTACATTTATACATTTATGATTCTCAACAAAACTGACTGATGTTTGAACCAACTGAACTCGTCAATTTGTTAGTAATGTGATTTTAAAACTGCCACAACTGTGGAAGTCTGCAGCTCATAGATCATCTTGTCAACTACATTGATTGTTGTCTTAGTTTGTTTACATTAACCTGGTGTCCTCCTTTTGTGTTACCTTTAACACAGACTACTATATCCCAACAGGGCAGGACCTGTGTTTTTTTTTTTTTTTTTTTTTCAGACGTGTTAATTAGACCAGGCAAGTCGCTCAGACAGATCCTGTGTGTTAATACCCTGTCTGGCTTACTTACATCACACACACACACACACACACACACACACACACACACACACACACACAGTATATAAGGACATATACACACACAAACACACACACACACACACACACACACACACAAGTAAGTAAACAGGGATCACCATACCTTGCCAGGTCACTGTTGGCATCTCAGTGTCACTGCTTATACTTGTACGTGTCAACTAGCCACACTGTGAAGACATTAGGTTTTTACATCCTACAGGGCAATATATAGGGGTGTTACAGAGCCCACACTGCAGTGTTGGAAAACGGTATATACATATGTACAACCAAACTTCCTCTTCTCGTTGTTTATAGTGTTCAGCGAAGAACCTGAAGAATATCTCAGAGCTGTTCTACTACGCCCAAAAGGCTGTTCTGCACCCGACAGGCCCCCTCTACTGTCCAGAGAAGAAAGATGTAAGAGACCAACTATACTGTGTGAATTCTGCACCATTGTTGTTGTGATCAACAACAACAGCAGCTTGTTTTACATAAAGGCCTGTATTTGAACATCCGTGAATCTGTATTTGAGAGAGTTATGTAATGCAGTGAATGTTTTAGTTTATGTCCAAGAAATTGTATCGTATTAATTGTATGTTATGTTACTTTTGAATTAAAAAATCGCTGTGTTGAAGTAACTTATGATTTGCCTCTTCGGTTCCCAGATGAAGCCACTTTGTGTAAAAGCCCTGACTCGAATCTTCAAAGTGTCTGACTTAGACAACGATGGGATTCTCAACGATAATGAGCTCAACTTCTTCCAGGTAAACTGATGACTGTCGTAACTGACAGTGGGTTTAACCAAAAACACAATTTGCATGGGACTTTGTTTGTTGTTGCTAGTTTTGACAATAAAGATGTTTTTGTTTGACGGCTCACAGCGGACGTGCTTCAACACCCCACTAGAGCCTCAGGCGTTGGAAGATGTAAAAAATGTGGTGAGGAAGAATCTGAGCGACGGAGTGTGCGATAATGGACTCACTCTCAAAGGTAGGAGTGGATGGACGGGCCTCTTTCTTGTGTTTATGTACATACAAATCTCTTGTCACACTGTTCCTGACTGTTTTGTTTGGTATTTCTGGGATATTCTTCTCCAGGCTTCCTGTTCCTCCACACCCTGTTCATCCAGCGAGGTCGCCATGAAACAACATGGACCGTGCTGAGGAGGTTTGGATACGACGACGACCTGGAGTTAAATCAGGACTACCTCTTCCCTCCGTGAGTCTCAGTCTTCCTTTTTTTAAACTCCATCCTGTGCACATGCAGCTCTACCTCATTAATTAAGGATTAAATGGTAGAGTTAATATTTATCCTTTTATTTAATCTTTGTAGTGGTGTTTATCTTCTGTTCTGACCGGGCTAGTTGACTACTTTGCAATATTTAACTCTCTCTAGGTTGAAAGTTCCTCCAGGCTGCACCACAGAGCTCAACCACAATGCCTACCTCTTCCTCCAGAGCGTCTTTGACAAACATGACAAGGTACAATCCTGTCCACCTGGTTCTGTATTTACTTAAGCCTCTGCCCTGGAGAGGCACTTACAAGAAGCTGCTCAGTACGGAGCGCAAAACCAAAATACACTGCCACAGCCAATGCTGACCACCTGCTGAGGCGTGATTTAACTTCTTGTCGCTGAGGAGGGATTGACAGGAGAATTAGCTGCAAGGTTAGAATGAAAGTCAAAGAGTGAAAGCGGCTGCTAGAGCCAAGATCTGCTTTTTGTCATAGTGATTAGTGTGCAACTGTGAATGTGTGCTTCAGTCATGTTTGTTTTCTCAGGTAGAAATGACAGGCAGCAAACTAAGTGAATTATTCTCTGAAAATCAACTGAGCAAGTACAATTCTTTCAGGTTACATTCATCTTTTAAATCCTATCTGAAATATTTCCTGCCCTGAGCACCTGTTTGGCATAGCTCACCATCCTGAACAGTGACCATTCTCTATGTCTTATCAGGACCGTGACTGTGCCTTGTCACCAGAGGAGCTGGGGGACCTGTTTGATGTTTTCCCATACATGCCCTGGGGTCCAGATGTTAATAACACAGTTTGCACTAATGACCAGGGATGGATCACCTACCAGGGATATCTCTCCCAGTGGACGTAAGTGGCCAATAATTAAAGTGTAACTACACCCTTCAATTCTGCCAGTTTCCTCCCCACTCACAAATTTAAAAAATGCATCAGAGACCTGCAAACGACAGTTACTTTAGGGGGCGTAGCCTCGACACCAACCAGAGTGATTGGCAGACCACAGCAGTGGAGCAGGAACAGCGCGCTGGTAGTCAGAGCTAATGAGCAGCTGCTGTCAGACTCTGTGTTTTGATGTGTTTTATCACAATATATGGTAGTCATAGAAATCAGTTTAGGGTGGAGTATCACTTTAAGTTAAAGCAACTCAGTGTTTCCTCTAGGATTTTTTTTAGCAGTGGGGGCGGGCCCGTCCGAACATCAACATAGAGGGAACACTGCAACTATTTGTACAATTTGAACATTTCTGATATTGGTGTCCTCTGGTGGTGGTATCAGAAAAGCTGTTCACAATTGTCATTTCTCAACAACTGCAAACTTATAACAGCATTTAGGCTATTGGGTATCAAACTTACATTACATTACATTTTGACTCCAAACCACAAATTCATTTAATTTTAAGAACAGTAATGGAGGGGGACCCATTAACCTTGTTTTTCCTTCAACTGACATTTGTTCAGGTTAACAACTTATCTGGATGTCCAACGATGCCTGGAGTATTTGGGTTACCTTGGTTACTCAATAGTTGCTGAGCAGGAGTCCCACGCAGCAGGAATTACAGGTGAATAATAGCAATATCACATGTTGCCATATTTATATTTATATGCAATATAAGCGGTAGCTATATATAAGAAATCTGTTTACATTTACATTCATAGATTGTAATGGTAAAGTCTTGAGGAGTATTCAGTCATAATCTCATTGTCTTGTTGGGGGAATTTGCTTTATTTGTCTTTGATTTTACAGTCGTGCCATCAGTAATCACATCAGTGAATCAACAGTGTCATACCAGTTCAATCTGAATCTTGTTGTTGCTGACAGAGCAGCAGTCTCAAACTGATCCTCTGATGGCTGTGTGTGGTCCGTCCGTCCCACCCCCCCACCCCCTTGCAGTGACCAGAGATAAGAAGATTGACCTGCAGAAGAAGCAGACCCAGCGCAGCGTCTTCCGCTGTAATGTCTTTGGAGATATTGGCAGCGGCAAGAGCGGCTTCCTCCAAGCCTTCCTGGGTAGTAACCTCATGGTAAATGGAAATAAACATTTGAATGCATACTTGCTCTCACAGGTATTTCAGTGTGCCAGAGTAAAATTAAACAGTGTTAGTTTTACTTTTTCACCAGCCACACACACCCCCACAGACACTGCTAAAAGAAAACACAATATATATGAAAAGTATTCTGAAACATTCCAGGTCAGATATTTCATTCATGATCTGCTTTTACATGATGTTTCTTCTCTTTTCTTTTCTTCTCTTCTCTTCTCTCCTTTAAGCGCCAAAAGAACATTAGAGAGGAACACAGATCATACTATGCCATCAGCACAACCTATGTTTACGGCCAGGAGAAATACCTTCTTGTGAGTATCAAGAATGCCTCTTATTTTGCAATTATGACTGTGTCTTAATACAGCTTTTCCAGTGATTTAAAAACAATTATCTTAATAACAGAGGACAAATTCACTAATACTATATTATGTTTAATAATATATCTTATTCTCATATAGAACACATAATTCATTGCTACACGTACCACTATACATTGTATGTGAGGCTGTCAACTGTGAACCATCAAGGCTAGCCCAGCCTGAGGTTGGCTGTGCTTACCTGGGTGTTTATGTAATCTTCTTATCATGTTCACCCAATGCTTTTGTCAAGCAAGCATTTCTACTTGCTTGACAAAAGCATTAGCATTGCAACGCTTACTTGCAAGCACAATAGGCTTTGCATGTGCTGCTACAATACATAACTGAAAACATGGCTAGTTGATAGCTACTTTACTCAAGCACTCACTGCAACAAGTCAGTGGTGCTTTTTCAAGTTTTTCCGCTTGTTGTTTGTCTTTTGAAGACAGTTTCACACACAAGCACTGCCTCTGTGCTGGCGTCCACAATGAAACACTGTTTCTCACAGACAGCTAGAGTACAAATGCTGTGATGATGCTCCAGTACGGTTCAATCTTTATTGCCACTGTGGCTCATGGTGCTGCAACATTAGTAAAACAGCAGCCATTAAACATCCTCAACAGAAGACTCTTTATTTTAGACGTAATCTATATCCAGTGTCCATTTTGGTAAAGCAATATGCACCATCAGCTGTGATTGCTGACCAAGCCACAGTGATGCACCCAGAAGTGGAAAGAAAAAAGCCAAGATGGATTCTCCAAGTAGTTGTTTTCACTACCCATTAATGCCAGAAAATGGCTGTAGTGAACCAGACCACTGCAGCTGGCAACAGTGATACAGAGAACATTCTTAACATGGGACTAATTCTTCTAACTCTCAGTTTAACTTAGTATTATAATGTACAATATTATGACGTTATTATCTTAGTCATGAAGGTGGTACTTGGATAACCTAATATTTTCTAAGCATAAAGAGTTTAGTGCATTTCATATTAGAAGGGCTTTTCTCTATTTTATTGTTAAGCTTTTTCAATGAACCTCCTCTTTCCTCTCAGCTTCATGAAGTGTTCCCCGACTTTGACTACCTGTCTGATGCCGATCTGGCCTGTGACATAGTCTGCCTGGTCTATGATGTCAGCAACCCTTACTCCTTTGAATACTGCGCCAAAGTTTTCAAGGTAAAACTGTGTGTGCGTATAGCTCACATCATATCAAAAGACAAATGCTTACCTTGGAAAACATCTTTACCATCAGTCATTCATCATCCTCATTTTCCCTCCTTAGCAATACTTCATGGACAGCAAGACTCCATGTATGATGATAGCAGCGAAATCAGACCTGCCAGAGATCAAACAGATGTATGGCTGCAGTCCTCTGGAGTTCTGTAGGAGGCACAAGATGCCACCTCCCCAGTCATTCACCTGTAACACTGCAGCAGGACCGAACAGAGACATCTACACCAAGCTTACCACTATGGCCATGTACCCGTAAGTATAGAGACACTTGATCTTGATTGTTGCCTCAGTTGAAGGTAGGAGTTTTCTCATTTTGAGAACTTTTATCACAAAAAACTTGCAGTTTACATTGATGCCAGTAATTTGTATTTGGCGCTTAAATTGATAGAATTCACACTTAGCTCTGCTTCACTTGTTTTAAGCAAGGGCATTGTTTGTTTATTTAGGAAAGTAAACGTCAACTGTAGTTTTACCGTTTGGTAACTATAACTGAAGTCTCATATGTAACATTCAAATGTTAACCATATTATACTATTTCTTATCTGTTTGCACACACGAGTCACAACCTTCTGGTTTAAAATGCTCCAAAGTCGAGGCAGGACTTTGTTGGAAGTGTTTCAGAGAGGTGTTGATTCAACTTTCTGCTCATTTTGGAGGATGTAGTTTGTGGTGCTGTTGAACTGAATTGCATTATGTGTTTCTGTCATTTAGCCTATCCTCATTGACATAAATCAACAGTTTAAACCCTCCGTGAAGGCAGGTTTTATTGCAAAACTGTTTTAGCTAGGTGAACCTAATAATCAGTCAACTTGAGTGATTAAAGCTAACATGCTTTTATTGTCACTTTTATTTGCTGTAAACCTACCAATCAAATTAACTATGAGGTTAGGATATGAAGGTTAGTACAAATTGTCACCAGAAGGAGATTTTTAACTTTTGCTCCCAATAGTGTAAAAAGGGGGAAAGGCAGTTTGGTAATGCAACTAAAATCTGATATCTTTTCCTTCCAAAGACTACGCAATGTCTGTGGTTTATAATTACCCATGTGATTGTTGGCGCTCTGAGATGTTTTTAACACAATCTATAGCTTTGTTATGTTTATACAGCCCCCTGGGTTTATAGAGAATTGTGCTGGCTGACTAGTCTTCCTCAGCTATGGATCATCTGAACAAATTATTTTTCTTCTTATGGCCTGAGGTGATGGAGTAGCTCAGTCACTGAGAGCTTGTTTGCTGCTGTTATATAGACAGAGTTGTTTTTTGAATCTAAAGTTTTTAAATTTGTATTTCCCGTACACTGTGAGGATTACCTGTCAATTAGGACCTAACTGCAGAAATTAATCTGTCTGAAACAAACGGGATGGATAATAGTTTTTTCCCCCTTTTGCAGTCCACTTTATCTTTTAGTTTTCAGTTTAAACACAAAGCTGTGCTGTGTGTAATTTCTGTTCCTTTTACTCCATGCCTCAGTGACCTGCTCCCTGTGGGAATGTTTCTCCTCTCTGCAAGTGTCAGTATCAGACATGATGTACTTCACCCCACATTAATGCACTTCACTGCCCTCTGGACATGTTGCACTCAGTCTGATGCCACAGTGTTTTGCATTGTGGTTATCGGAGTTCCTTGGCGAGCAGTAATGTTGATCTCTCCCAGAGGCTCACACTCTGCAGTCAGTCAGCTTGCAGTGCACTGTCAACACACAGTGCCTCTCTGCACATCACACGGTCACATAGTTACACACAGCAGACCCGCCCTTATTTAATCCACAGCCGATTCAATTCCTGTTATAAGATTCAGAATATAATTTGGTTTTATAATGTTATGAAGTAAAGAAAAATCGTTTTTAAACAGCCGTGTCAGTGTTTCAATGATTGTGACTTCCAGCTGATGAGCCACAAACTTCTAAATTCATGGTGGTGGCATCTTTTAACTCTTAACTTTCTTCCTCTTCTGTTTGTTATATGTAAACTGTACATTGGTGTTTGTCTTCCCCCTATCTCTCCTCAGCCACGCCCGGTTGCGCTGCATGTGCACTTGTAATCGGTGCACCTTCTGCTTGTGTCAGAACTTCCTCAACTCTGAGCTGCTGCAGACGGTCAGGGCCAAACTCTACGCTGTTGTACTCAGAAGGTCTTTTTTTTAAACCTTTTTTTTTTACAACCCTCTCTTTATCTCTGATTACCTCTCAAATATATCACCATCATCACCCCCAAGCTTGTCCCATTTATTTCATCATATTCCATTTCTACACCTGCAAAGTAAAGTTTTATTTATAGGCTTCAATTTGTCACTAAATAGAATAGAAGAGAGACAAACTGTCTTAGATTTTTTAATAGGATATGAATATAAAAGATTAGAAGAAATGTTAAAGATTTTGTGAATTTATATCAGAGGGACGTCGCTCTCGTATCTGCATTGTAATTTCAAAACACATTTCTTCTTTCTCATTGTTTCATGCTGTCAGAGTCCTCCTGAGTTTGATTTATTGAAAGCGTTTGCTTCTTTTTTGATCTCATTGTCATTCAGTCGGTGTCAACTACCTTGTTGTTTTCATATTTGCTCATGTCAGTGTGCCGCAGCCGTCTCAGCTACCCGAGATGTCATAGCTAATTTCTGGTCTTGTCTCATGTCACAACTATTATCATGCATCTGTTTGACTGGCTTTTGCTTCAGCATCTCCTTATTTCAAGGCCCCATTCCTGCTCTGTCATCAGTTCATGCATCATTTTCTGTATGTTCGTGTTATTTATTTTCACATCATCCTTCTTAGCAACACCTCTCACTACTGAGACTTCCATTCCTCATGTTTGTTTCAAACTTGAGAGATTTAGGAGAAATAGTTTGATTATAGTTTCAGTGTATCTTATCTTGTAATTTATGATGTAGAAAATCTCTGTCTCACTCTTTACTGTCCTCCGTATTTATCTCTTTGGCCTGCTTCTCTTTAACAGACATGTGAGCCAAGCAGACCTGAAGAGCTCGACCTTCTGGCTGAGAGCGAGTGTCGGGGCCACAGTGTTTGCGGTTTTGGGCTTTGCCATGTACAGAGTGCTGCTCAAACCACGGTGATCCTCGGGCACCTGGGCCCAACATTCTTTACACCCATGGTACAACGTTAGGCCTACTTGCATTTAGTAACTGAAAGAATATATAAAAAATCTGTCATGGTTTTGTAATTTCAGTCCAAATTGAAAAAAATTAGAAAAAAAGTGTGAAAATGTATCTTAGCAAGCATTCATTTTCATTCCATTGTAAATTTATCTTCTTGGGAATAGAAGAGACAAAAAAATATTTAATTTTGTACCAGAAACACTAATTTGCTTATTCTGTTTGTCTGCAAGTATTTAAAAAGTAATATATCTATATTTATATTGAAAGTGAGGGTAAGCTGCTGATGAACTGTGGTGAATAACGAGTGAAATACATATATAGATATTTTTTGGGTTGCTTGCTGATTGAAATGAACAACTTGGTCTCAGTTGTGATAGCGATTGTGGTATGTGAGGTATACAATAGCATTCATGCTTTCATTAGACTGAACAATATGTAAATAGTGTATATACTATAGTAGGCTGTACATTTGTTTGTCTGTGAAAAAGACCATGTGTGACTCGCACTCAAAACACTATGTATGTATGTAAAGGTCTTAGTTTAACCGCCTGGTCACAAACTTGCACAACCATTAGCATTGATTATTCACACTGACAGATATTGGTTTGCCTTTCAAGGCCAAATGCTTCGGCGCACACTTTTTTATGTTAGTACATCTGCACAGGTCATGTTTGATCAGTAGATGTATGGAAGGATTTGCTGCTCTCTCTCATGTCTTCCCACGTTGGTCACTTTCTCAGCTTGTGTGTGTGTGTGTGTGTGCGTGTGTGTGCGTGTGTGCGCGCGCGCGTATGCGCTAAGATATTGAAAACTTACACTTTACAACCACTGTACATTTGGTGTTTGCATGCTTCAGAATTTCCGACCACATTCCAGTGTTTAAAGACATACTGTACAAAATAATTACGAAGCCAACTTCTCCACATTGCTCTCCAGCTCCCCCAATCATCCAGGGACGAAGTAAAGTTTATTGACAGAAGTAGTTAGTTGAGTCTTGAGTCATAGTGAAGTTTGTCAGCTCTCCTGATCACGAAAAACGCAATAGCGTGGCCCCAGATGTTCAATTTCATGCAATACCAACTGCTTGCCACAAGACTCAGTTTGATGTATTTACTCCTCCCTGTCTTTCCAAAAGTTTACAATAAATGTCTGTTACATCTGGTGTGATGGAATTTTTATTCTTTTAATTTTATTCTGTTACTTGCTTTTCAGTTAACTAATTAAGGAAATTAGATTTGTTTGGATTTGGATTAGCTCTAGAGGACTTTGAGACACTGAAGGTTCTCATGTTAGTTGTATTTTTAATTAATGAAAAGGAACATTGTAAACTTTTTGTTGCCATACCACCTTCTTTATCATTTGATACCCATGATCAACTTTCATTTTCTCCTGTTCTGACAGGGTATATGTAGTAAGTTTAGATTGGATACAAGAAGCATGTAAATGATATGAGAACAGAAAATACTATGACACAAGAGGGCAGCATTGCTCAAAAAAATTAATTCACTAGTAGATAAAACCTGTCACCAAACAGAGAGCCTGCAGTGAAATCTATATTTTAAAATGCAGTGTGAAAGAAGATATGATCAAGATATCGCCTTGATTCTAGAAAACCCATTTTACTCTTCAACAAACAAGCCTCCCCCCCCCCCCCCCCCCCCCCCCCCCCTCTCTCCTCCTCTCTCTCTCTCTCTCTCTCAATATAAAAGCCTCCTATTAAATCAAGTGAAATACAGTTTATAAACTGCTCATCAAGCTGATCCCTCTATAATTTAGCAGCACCCTTTGGTCGCCACAGTGGGTGTTTGCTATTGAGCTAATAATAGATATAACCCAACGTTGGTACATCTATTCCTTATTCATTTTATCAAAGAATGTGGCAGAGGATTATCTAGTTTACTCAAACCTTTAACTTTTATCTCCTTCAGATCTTAATTCAGACTAACTCACTAACACAAACTTTCTTAAAATCAGAACTCAAAGTTGTGTTAAATTAAGCAGTACCCTGAGCCATTGAAATTACACTAAAAAGCTTTGGGTTGTAAAATCCATATAGCTCTAAGAAACACTGCATTTGGACATCTGAAGCTGAACTGTCTGGTGCAGGCTGCTTTGTCAGGACATTTAAAGCACCACTGCTCCTCTCACTAACGAGTATCTGTAATTATGTGAGACAGTCAGACACTGTGCCGCATGAGAACTCCTATTTAACCATGAAACTGAAGTCCTCGCAAGTGAAGCCTATTTTCTTTTGATACCAGTGAAATCTAAAGATGTGTGTGCATTTGACAGAAAGAGGACAAACACGCCTTTCCTTAGAGCAGTGATGCTCAGCCTTACTTGTATCTCATGGGCTGCTTTTTCTGTTTTCACGTGGTGTATCTGGTTTACTGCGTCTGCTGCAACACCTGAACACCACCTGTTGCAATTCAGAGTGCATGAAAAGTTAACATGTGAGCAAAGAAGCTGTTTTCTAAAACTAATGCATAAATAGTTCAGGTAGATATCTAAAAGTGATAACTGGTTGAACTAGATATCTGAAATTATAAACGGTTGAAATGGTTAGCTTAAGGGGAAACGGCTAATACAGTAAGCAGTATTTAAAAGTAGTGGGTAATAAATAGAAAGCTAAGGGCCGCCCCTGGGTAGAGCGCGTACTGCAGCGACTCGGGTTCAAGTCTGGGCCATTGCTGCAAGTCATTCTCTCTCTACTGTAGGCCTTCTGTCAAATAAAGCGAAATGCCGAAAACATTTTTATAAAATAACAGTTTAATAGATAAAAATTGGTTTCCAAAAGTAGACAAGTGGATAAAGGATTGAAATAGTTAAAAGTAAATAGTTGAAATAGTAAACTGAAAGTACTGGATATGGTTGACACACTGGAAGTAGTGGATAATTGGTTAAAATGTCCAGCTTCCTCTACTCCAAGTGTAGTAGCACGAATGCAAACCTGACCGAAGCACTCACAATTCAAATGTATTAAAAAATACAGCAGCAATCTATAATTAAGGGTGTGTAACATTCAGAAACACATTTGGAAGATCACGGATGGTGTTGATAAAAGGGTACTAGAGTTCATCAGCGAGGCGCTGTGGGGGTATGTCAGACGGGAAAGGTTGGGAACCACTGGCTTAGAGAACAGTTAGTGCCTGCAAACAGCTTTGAGAGATGTCAAAAGAAAGAAATACTCCCCAGCTGTTAATTTATCCATGAGCTAAGTTCTCCCACGTAGCAGGTGTTTTTTCTTGCTGGATCTCTCTCTCTCTCTCTCTCTCTCTCTCTCCTTTTTGTTCACACTCTCTTTCTTCATCATCACCCGATCCCCCTCTATCATCTGCCTCTCTGTTACAGCTCTTCAGCTGGTGTTAGCACATGACTTGCCAAAGCAACCACGTCAGAGCTCATTAGCTGCTTTTAATGGAAATTCCCATTGGTGCCTGTAGCTAAGGAGACAATCATTCCCCTCACTCCTTGTCCTACGGAGATTGTGACTAGATTTATTGATTAAATTATTTATATCTAATAGAGAATATTAATTAATCTATCTATAAATCTATTAATGGTGACACGAAAGGGGGAGAGAGTGGGAGGATGACATGCAGCAAAGGGTTGTTATAGTGAAGATAAAAAAGCAAATTTTGACTAAATTAAGTTTATGCAAATTATATATACATTGCATCTTTTGTGCAAATCCCAACAGCTTTATGCTTTGATTTCCTTATATTCTATTAATAAATGAGCAACAGTACTGGTTTTGTCTGCACAGAAGAAGTTACATTGTTTTTGTTTTAATGGTGAGGGGTATAAGTGAAGTATTTTCAGGCTTTTTTTTAATTATTATATAAATCGTTTATATAAAAGTCTGAATTATGTGTGAGGCCACGATAAGTTAACAATAAAACTTGTTTCCCCTCCACAAAAGACTAAATGAAAATACAGAATCTCAACATTTGGTCATGGGTTGCCGATCTCTGACCATGGATACAGAAAGGCTTCTGGGTCTTCTTTTAACACCATAACAGACTCCAACTTTAACCCAACACCGCGGTGTAAGAGTCCTGCAAAGATCCCCAGGGGTTAAAAATATCAACTGGCTATATTGTTTCCATGGCAATGCTATCACATAGTGTACATGGGGGAGTTTAACTAGAAGGATACTGTTCAACCTACACACTGTAGACCACACCGCCTTCACATCTTTTCTCCTCATAAATGGCTTCCACCCAACTATTAGGTGTGTTTGATGTGTCTTGCAGTAATAGGTATGTGTTTGTCTGAAATGGGGCCCCCATCATGTGGGTGATTGTAGCAGCAGACCTGGAGGGGACAGTTTATATTCCCTAAAACCTGGAATTTACAACCTGGGACACTCCTTCATTTCTGAGTCTTTAAAGGAAGCAGTTTACGAGTTTATGCGTTCTGTTTTTGTGGGAAATTATTAATTAGTATTTATAAAAGATGAGATTATATCAAATGTGAATGAACCCCACTGAGAAAGTGGATCTTTGCAGCAGCAAATATTAACAGGATACACAAAGAGAGATATTTAAACCGACACCCTTTAAACAAATTAGCAACAACAAAAAAGCATATTTAGTACAAAAGTAGCACGCGAACAAAAATAAAACACGCTAAAATGTGAAAAACTTGACTATTTTGTCCATAACATTAAATCTATGAAGCATATTAATAATTTAAATTCATTATATTTAAGAATAACTGTGACCTCTAGTGACTTATTGAATTTTAAATCCTATTGGGTGCAGCCTTGGTGTTAATCACATTTGCGCTGCACTTGGTGAGAACTGATCAATAATGGTAAAATACGCACAGACCGAAATGGTATAATGATTGATCTGAGCTGCTCATCTCCAACAGAGCAGTTACTGTGTGGCTTACGTCTACATGGAAAAGCTTTTATTCTCTCCTGAGTTACACAAACCCTCCAGAAGACCATACACAAGGAGTATTGTACTGATTTGTCATTTAGATGCAGAAGCTTTTACAGCAACAGCTCAGTTGGAGACGAGCAACAGATGATTTGTGACAGTTGTATAATCTAACTGCTGTTTGTTTCCAATGTCAATAAAAAAGCAAACTGTATGAAACACACATTTATCTTTACTTAGTGTTTCATATTTTAAAGCCTATAATGACATATTATGACCATTTAATAGCAAATAAGTAGCCTTAGTGTTGGACCCCATTAAATGTAGACCTTCAGTAGTAGAGTGTATATTAGGGTCCAAAATGAATATTGAATGTTGGACATTTTTCTATTTGTCACTTGGGGGTTGAGGTTTGTCTACTGACATAGTAAATATATTGTTACCTCCTTTACACCACTTTCTTGTAAGTTGTAACTCTTTATTGGTTAACGATATTTTATGAATGCTTTATAGATCAGTCACAAGCCATTAATAACAACAACTTTGGGGTTGCCAGGTCGTGACAAATCATTTTGATTGGTGTCTTAGTTGTAAGACAGACCACTCCAATGGGCCATACGACCAGTGTTTAGGACCAAAATGTATTAATTAATCTCAAATTATTAACATTTACAATTGTATATTGTACTATTGATGACTAATGCAAACATATTTGATTGTATAATTGCGTTAATAAGGAATCATATCAATAGTGGTCCCTAATGGGGTTACATTATTGAATATTACACTGGAGTATTCAATTACCATGAAGGCCAATTATAACTGCTACATGTCAACATCATTCCCAAATGACCAAACGACCTCCAACCTCTGAGCCAGTGACAGCCAGCTGTTCAGCCAGAGATCCGGAGTTCCTCGAAACCCCAGAGCTGGAGTGGCCGGTGATCCCTCGTCACCGCCCGCCAGATCTCTGCCTCCCCTCCTCTCCCTCTCTTGCCATCTCTCTCCCTCCCTCTCTCTCTCTCTCTCTCTCTCTCTCTCTCAGTGTGCCTGGAAGGACTCATGCGGCTGGAGCAGAGTCCCGGCGACTCCTGGAACCGAACCAGCCATCCCGACGGAGGCGGTCGGTGTATTCCTCCTCCCACACTCGCCCTCCCTCCCACCCTCCCCCGTTGAGGCTGCCTGTCGGCACGCGGCTGAGAGAGAGCAGACGGCTGTCCCCGCGCAGCGACCGCCGACCGACACAACAAGAAAGCAGCGTGCCAGGTATCAT